TCCCCCTCCCACCGGGGGAGCCCCAAAACCCCCTTTTTTTTCCCAAAAAAATTATAAAACCCCCCTTTTGCCGGGGGGGCCCCCTTTCCCCCCCCCCCCCCCATTTTTTTTTTTTCCACCAGAATGGGGGGGGCCCCCCCCACCGAAAAAGGAAAATTTTTTTTTTTTTGGGGGGGGCCCCCCCCCCCCCCCCTTTTCCCGGCCTTGGCGGTTCGAAAAGTTTTTGAAATCCCGGAAAATTCTTTTTCCCCCCCCCTTTTTTTTTTTTGGTTCCCCCCCCCCCCCCCCCCCCCGTCGTCCGATCCTTCTTCACGTCGCCCCCGGCAACCGGAGGGCTAGGGGCCCCGTGTGTTGTCGAAGGCACGGACCCCCCGTGTTCGTCTCCAGGAGGGGCGGCGGCGGCGGCGGCGGCGGCGGCGGCGGCGGCGGTAGTGACGCTGTTGGAAAACCCGGGGGTGGGGCGCTGCTGCCCCCCCCCCGCCATCGAAGCTTCTCTGCTGGCTACCACGGCGGTGGTAACGACTGCTGTTGCGGTGCCACCATCTGCCACGCCCTGCTGTTGCCCGCCGCCGTCGCCGCTGCCGCCGCTACTGCTGTTGCTTGCAATGGCAGGCTGCTGCTGCTGCTGCTGCTGCTGCTGCTGCTGCTGCTGCTGCTGTTGCTGCTGCTGTTGGTCTTGTTCGGCTGCGACGGTCGTCGTCGCCGGGACCTCGGAGGGGGGGGACAGCAGGACCTTCGTCCCCTCCCTCGCCGCCCACATGCAGCTGACGATCGACACCGCGAACCCGCAAGCGCACACCCCGCCAAGCAGGAGCCAGAAAACGCCCCATTCAGAGGGGAGCGGCATGCTTTTTCCTCCCGTGTGCGCGCGAGGTACCTCCTGTCGTTTTCCTGCGATGCTGCTGCTGCCGCCGCCGCTGCTACTGCTGCTGCTGCTACGGCTGCTGCTGTCTGTGGGGTAACCAAGATCCTGTTCAAGCGGGTTTCAATTTCGATGAGGCGGGGAAGAGGCCGGGAGGACGGTGTCGGCTACGTGCTGCGAAGCCAGTTGGGTACACCCACCGAATGATTAAAAGAGTCAGAGGAACGAGCTTGGGTACTGCTTCCCTTGATGTGGCCGCCCTCCATCGGCTACAGTCAGTCTATGCGCTAACTAGGGAAGACTGGTGTATTCTACACACCTGTTACCGACTAGTAAATTTAGCTCGCTTGGTGGGTTGTGGTTCGCTGGGCTGTTCGAGTGCTACCCACGTCAGCTATACTATGCATATGAGCTGTTGCTTGGGAAACGTCGCAACTAGCACCGAGCTGTGGGCTGGCCCTGCTGCCTGATTTTATTTCCATCTACTTGCATCGCCCCTTTGACGACACTGTTCAGCCCTCGCGAGCCCACTCCAGAGGTACTCTAGATATCATGTATGTAGTAGACGTTCCCGCTAAGAAATCTTGCGCCGCGGGAGGTATAATTGTATCCAGATGTAGATGTTCCCGCGAAGGAAATTGGCATCTGGTCCCAGCGACGTGCTAAGACCAAGGGGGGTTGTTGGATTGGGTCGTAGATTAACAATCGTCGGCGGGCGTTATCAGGTGTTGCGGCAACCTATGCATTTGCATACATACGTGCAGGGTAGTTACAGTGCCGGGTGGGTGGGGACAGAGAGTAGCAGTTGGCGCGCTGCGTCGAGGCCAAAGCGTAGCCGTCACGGTTGTTCGGCGGTCCCGCTAAAAAATGTGCCGCACGAACCTCCCTAATATACATTCGTTGCTCCTTGGGCGACGCAAGTCTGTGGGGTGGAGGTGACTCGCATGTTAAATCAAAATATTCTTCTTTAAAACTATTACCCGACGTGCTCATGTGTATTGTCACTCCGGGTAAAGATGCTGACTGCTGTTGGTACCAAATCGCCGTCCCCAATTTCCGCGACCCGCAAAACTCCGTGGCAGCGCTCCAAGTGATAATATTTCACCCGCGGGTCAAAGCTATAACCAAGTTTTGGTACTGCTGTAGCTGGCTGTGGATATGTAGCGTGAGGGGTGGGAGACATGCGTCTCGCGTTCCCGCCTGCTGGATCGCTGTCTCATGAAACGCCATTTCTCCACACAACCACCGCCGGAAGGTTCACTCCGAGCAAAGCCCCTGTGTACATTCCAGCTGAAGACGGCTGCACTCACCGTTTGGGAAAACGCACAACTTTTCTGCAAAAGGAGAGACTAAAAAAACATCAGTTCAACGAAGGCGTGCAGTATGTGAGTGAACACAGCAAGATCGTGCCGCAGCAGATCCTCCGCCTTCCTAGACACTTGTGGTGGGAGAAGATCGATGAGGGTGCTCTCGGCTGTGAGCCACCGAGCACGCCAACTTAGGCACACACTCCAGCACACAGCACTATATTATTGTTGTACCGCAACAAGCAGCCTGCCACATTTAGTACAAGCGCGGAAGCAGCACGCGCGCCAGCCAGCCAGCAGCAGGTATAGGTCCACGCCAGAATGGATCAAGACACGGACTCACCGCCTGAGAAACGGTCCGCCTAGCCCGTCAGCGCTGCCGGCCTGCTGGGAAAGCAGCCTGCAAGGTTTGGAGCCAGGAGAGCTGGCTCTCATCTCGTAAAAGCTGGGGGGGGGTAGAGGGGGGAAGCAAGCGATAAGTCACGCCGCATTTCAGATGAAACCGTCGCGGGTTTGTTTTCATGAAGTTTGGAAGCCGACCACACATGGAGGAACCGCACACAAGCGCGTACCGTGTACATCTCTCCAGCTTATCTAAAAACAATGTGCAGCCGCGGTTATTTTTCTTGAACTCACCCTCTCTTGAACACCGTAATCCCCACAGGCGTGGGCTGGTGGGTGCTGTGTGTGAGCTACATAGCGGTTGACTGAAGCATCGCGCCGCGAGTCCTGCCTTGCCCTCCTACGGAAGGATGTCCAATCGTTCTCATTCTCCAAGCAGCGGCACCAGCAGTTGCAGCAACAGAGAGAGCAAGCGAAGACGGCGCTGGAGGGATGCTAACAGTAGTGGTGCGTGTAGTAACCCGCTTCGGAGGCTCGACCTCATGATCGCGCTGTCGGTGATGGCGTGCTGCTGCTGCTACAGCGACGTGAAGCCCTTCGGCCCGATAATGGTGACGGCTTTCCGGGCGAGCCCGCCGCCGCGAACGTCATCCAAGAAACGCTTCGAGAACAGTGGCCTCAAGTCTCAGCAGGTACAGCACAGCCCGCGATGGTGCTGTTGGACCCCCTGTGGTGTTTGACCTTGATGATTGCCATCATCATGACGCGCGTAGGATCAACTTTTTTCGTGTGCATATTACAGTGTTATGCTTTGGCCTCACAACAGCAGTCTACTATAATACAACACTGATGACGAGAGCAGCGGAGCAGAAAGGCACATCACTACTGCTGTACATGCGCCACTTTAATTGCCTGGGCACGTGGGCGGCGTTTTGGTGCCCAAAGGCAGTAGGTCCCCCCCCCCTGCCTGCAGATGTGATCCGCAAGACTCTGTTACTCGATGCATGCATAGATCCATCTCACCAACGTGTAGTCTAAGATAACTTTCCAAAAATTAAAAAAAAAGAACGTCCGAGGCACGATCACTCGCATAAGGTTGGCTGGCATTGCAACCGCAGCTCAGAATGATCAGAGTGGCTCCGCGGGGGAGGATGTAGTGGGGTAGAAAACGGCGTACTTGTTACCACCGTCTTCGTGGAAAGTGTTTCCTAGATCCCACGGACGTTGTGTTTGGCCACCCGGACCCGTCCACCCCTTTACAGGGCGGATTGATCCAACAAGGCAAACTATTGCGACACCGTGTACTCTAGAAGCATGTACCCGGTAGGGCAAAGCCAAGTAAAGGGTTTCGGGATGAACGAAGAATACCTCCCGGTCAATACGACGTCACTTGGAACGGTCGGTGCTGCGCTACATTGTCTCAGTTGTTGGAGCGGGGGGGTGACCATTGTACACGTACGTGAATCATTTGCCCTGTTAGGTTGCTGCAATGTTCTTGCTCTTTGCCCACCCCATCTTCTTCAGCGACAGACCAGTGCACGCCTCCCGTCAAGCACCGTGATCTTCATTTCTAATGACCCCTGCCTGTCACAACCGACCGTTCTCCCTGCTTCGACAATTTGGCTTGAAACGTTTTGGAAGCAGATGGACGCCACGCCCCTCAAAGAGGCTCTCGAGTTGATCGCAATGGAGACCAGCGGCAGCAGGCGTGTAACGAAGAAGGCCCTTCTTGAATCTATTGGCTACGGGGTGAGTGCTCGTTCACACCGCCGCCCTTGTCATATCACGAGCTACGAGAAAAGTCACAGGTTGAGCTTTACTAGGCAGTGATTCCTGTGCCCGGCCGTGCGCGTACGGAACGGACCCGAAAAGAAGAATATATTGGGCTAGTAGATTAACAAAGATTGACGAAACACAAAGAGCATAGTTCCCAAAGAGATACCTGAATGTGAATGTGATTCGTGCATATCCGGCATGGGCAGTCTTGACTAAAGAGAACCTCTTGCTTTCGCCGACTCTTCTTATGGTGCAAGTCTTACCTTGCGGTCTGGTGTTCTTGAGCGTACCTACAATTCGTTGCTGGCTGCCGCTGTTTCTTTCAAAACCGCCTCCTCCATACGAACAGGTCATGGACCCTTTGGCATACCAAACGTTCGAGAACTCACCGTTACCGCCTAAGCTGAGACCGACCACCCACGTCAGAATCGCCGACGGCATACACACCTTCGGTCAAGAGTTCCTGGGAGTTCCGCCGGAAGAGGGCGTGTCTTCCTTTTCCGAGTACGCGGTGGCGGGTTCGTCAGCCTCCGAAACCACCGCTCACAGCAGCGGCGACGGTACCGATCCTTCTGCCGTGGGAGGGTCGCAGCAGTTTGAGCTCCAGCCTAAGCTTCCCGGCCTCGGTATGAGGATGACGATGCTGCGGCTAGGAAGTGGCGAGGTGAGGGGGTTGGCGACAGGTGGGGGGGGGGGGGGGTCCCGGCGGCCCGCGCTTGGGGGGGGGGGGGGGGGGGGGCCC